AGCCCTGGAGCTGAGGAACAGCTTTGAATTTTGGTAAAATTTGCGAATCCACAGCTTTCTGCTCAATCTTGCGCTGCTCTGAAATCTCGTGTTTCTCCTTCTCTGTGTCGAAGTCCAGTGCAAGTCTTAAAGGAGAGCAATTCAGCCCACTTTTTATATGAGCTTTCAGACATTAACTATACTGTTGGATATTAGCTCCCTACGATAAGCTAATAGCTTTGTGTATAAAATGAACCTGATTCCTATTATTCAGCCTAAAACATTTCCATTTATAGATAACTGACACGACTAGCCATCTTAGAACTCTTTTCACTGTTTCAAAAGTATAGTGTCTTGAATTTTTTTAAACATTTACTTTTCTTTTATTAATTCAACAAACATTTTTTGAGAGCTTGTGAGGTATTACTCCAGGTACTTTGTGAGTACTCAAATTCGACTATGTAGCAATAATAAAATGACAACATTGGTCTGCTGTTAATAAATATTTGATTTTTGTACATATTTAACCTATGAGTTACAATATTATTTAATATTACAGCCTAAGAGTAAATAATTAAGGGCTAAACAACAGATCTAAGATAAATAGACTAAATAGCTGTTAGAAGTTTTTATTGGAGTCCCCCTTGCCTGTGCTTAGTCTTGCCTTTCTTTTTCTGGATCTGTTTCTTTCTCTCTCTCCCTGTTATTTCTCAAGATTTAAATTTATTTACATTACATTTCCCACTCTGTGCCCAGTGACCAGAAACCTCCTGTCAGTGAGTAATGCGTTCCCAAAGGGAGTCACACAACCACCATTCAATCCATCATCCACCTTGGGTAGATTGCTCATTTAGCTATCTGGGTCATTTGGGAAAGGAACACTGAGGTGGAGTTGAGACTGCAAGTGGTTTATCAGGCTGTGATGAGTGGTGAGGTAGAGGACAGAAATACTTGTGAAAGGGGAAAGGAAGCAAGATAAGGCAGAAAGAAGATTGATACATTGTGTAGATCTGACAAGGTCTCTGCCAAACCAGTAGAAAGCTCTGAAACAATCCTATATTGGGCAAACATGGCCACGTCCTAGTTCCTCTATGCACAGTCATTGGCTGGTCATTGCCCAGAAAAATCATGGCCTCAGATGTTAAAACTGAAGCAGATTCTGGGGCATTCATAGCTGGAGGCTATTAGTAACTACACTCCCCTGGACTAAACAGTGAGTTTCTCCATGATGGAAAATCCAAGACTAGCTCCTCCAAGGCTACTATAGTTGTGTTCTCAAGAATAGAGCCCTGATAATATGGAATAAGACACTCCTAAATATTAATACATGAATGGGATCATTTTTTAAAAGTACCTGTAAGAGAACTGAGAAGAATGATCAAAGGAGGGACCTAGGACATTCCTTAGGTAGCTATGTCACAGGAAATCCTAAAAGACTGCGGAAACAAAAGAGAGGGAGTGAATCTAGTGATTTAGTGATCTAACTTCAGATGGGGACCACTCCTTGGTCTATGACAGAAGATTCTGTGTTGATAGTCCTTCCCTACTATCTCCACATTGCAGCTTCTTCATCTGTACAATGTATTACTGTAACAGAATTTTTTTAATTAAAAATTATAAAAAGTCCCTACACCATAGGCTGTTATTATTATCACTATCATTGTTTCCAGTTGTTTTTTTATTGACCTGTTGGCCTATTTCATATTCATCTCAAATCTCCAGGGCAGAGAAGCTGGAAGGGAAGACATTCTAAGTGTGTTAATAACTCTAGCTTCGGGACCAGCAGTTAACGTAATGGTTATGTCGCTGAACTCCCCTGTAGTCAACTGTGGTTCAAGTCCCAGACCCAGTGGCTTCAACTCACACCGGGCGCATGTGCATGCATGCCCAAGATCCCGAGAGGAGAATGGAGAAAAAGGAATTGTGGCATGGCCATCCCCCCTAGGAGGGGGTTTCTTGCTATCTATCTCTCTGTCTCTTTCTGTCTCTCTGGAGAGCGCATGCACCCGATAGCAAAAATCTCTTCAATAAATAAATAAATAAATAAACTCTAGCTTCAAATCCCAATTCTGCCACTTATAAATTGTGAAATCTGGAGCAAATGATTGAATGTCTAACTGCCTCATTTTTCTACAAAAAATGATAGCAACGACACCCACTTCACTGAAATTTTGTAAACATTCAGTGAATTAGCACAGAAAATCTATTTAGTATATTGTCAGCCACTTAGTAAGTGCTCAATTTAGGTAGCTATTAGTGATTATAATTAATATTAATACAAGTTTATTTGTGAAACACTATGTTAAGCAAGGTGAGCTGGACTTTTGAAAGCTATGCACTGTATATCCTACTCAAAATGTACTAAATCTCTGGACTCTATGGCAGAAATAGAAAGGCCCAATAATATAATAGAAGAGAGGAAAAGTGTAGATATAAGACTCTAAGGGAAGGGAGTGTCTGGTAGAGAGTGAGTAGTAGATGGGAAGTGAAAGGGACTAGATGAAACATTTCATAGATGAATGTAAAATTCTCTATTTAAAAAAATCTGTAAATTTTGCCTTAAAATAAATAAATAAAAACACTTTTAAAACAGTCTTCTTATACTAGAATAGTGCCAAAAATTCTATTTCTTTTGCATAAAAGACAAAATACGTCTCAGCTTGTGCAATATCCAGTGGTATATATTGCAGAGTCAGCCAAGATCGTCTGTGGCTTTCTGCTAGCACCTGTTATGTTCCCGATATACTATCTAAATAATCGTTAGTCATTTTTTAATTATGGTTTGACAGATTACTATAAGGAGAAAAATCTTTATTACCTCCACAAACTCTGAACTCTCTGCTTGTTCCTACTCAACAATAGAGCATACAAGGAACTTATGGGAAACTAATGATGCATTTTATTCCTTGGTTTATATTTGTAGTTTTTATTCTAGATATGTCCACAGAATTTATAACATCTGGTTAGAAACATTTCCAACACTCTAGGTCTTTGGCATCATGTTGACAAAACTGAATGATTGATTGTTCCCAACATTTTTTTAAATCCAGATGTTTGGATTTCCTGGAGGCCTAACCCAACCTTTGGTTTGTTCTTGGAAAGATAATACAGTATGAACATCTAAAAATTGAGAACTCTGTTCGATAAACCTACTCAATAACATGTCCTATATACTTAATATCATAATGCTACTTGATTTGTTATTCAATCACATTGTTAATTGGAAATGCATTAAAAGAATTCTCTAGAATTAGAGATATTACACCCAAGAATTACATTAGCAAGAGAGCACAAAAGAAGAAACAACCACTAAGTGGAACTTGCACATTTTAAGTACAGGCTTCAGATTTCCAAAGACTCACCTCATGGCCTGAAAGAGAAGTGGTTACGTTATTCTATCCTATGGGTGTGTTGTTTTCTGAACGCCATATTGGTAGTTAGAATAAATGTACCGTTGGGAACCAGCAGTTAGCGTAATGGCTATGTCGCTGGACTCCCACGTAGTCGACCGCGGTTTGTGACCCGGACCCGGTGGCTTAAAACTCACGCCGGGCGTGTGTGCGTGCCTGCCCAAGATCCCGAGAGGAGAAGGGAGGAGAAGGGATTGTGGCATGACCATCCCCCATGGGGGGTTATTTCTCGCTTTCTGTCTCTACGTCTCTCTCTGTCTGTCTGGCGAACTTATGTGCCCTACAGTGAAAATCTCTCAAAAAAAAAAAAAAAAAAAAGAATAAATGTACCCATTAGCAAAATGTTATAAGTGATGGTAAAGGGCCAAGACAGTCCACAAAAATCTGTTTAACCAGCAATGAAACCGCTGACTTCCAAAGCTCTTCCTTGAGTCTTCTGGGTCTTGCATGTCTCAAGACATTGAAAGACATAGTATCCTGATCCCAAAGCTGTTCAAAGCCAGGGCCCTCCTGAGCCATAAACCCTTATCTCATCTACTCCAGACCTTGAAGGGCTGAGCAGCTGTGGGGAGTGGGGCCCAGCTGAGGCTTGGTTGCTAGGCAGCTTTAAGATTTAAAACATGTGGATACACCAGTAATATTTATTGCCTTAATTTTCTCTTTTGTTTATACTCTCAGAGTCTAATTTCATAACACCTGATACTTTCCACTTACAATGTCTTTCTAGTCTTATTTTTTTCTTACTCTTTTAGTGGCCATCTTTTAGAGGCCAATAAGAGGAATTTTAATATGTAATTATAAACCCATAAAGGTCAATAAATATGGTCCCCCCTCTCCTCCCATTAACAAATTGAGTGCTGGAACCACCAGTAATCTACCCAAAACATGAAAAATGTTGATGATTCAGTGTGAATTAAAGAAAAAGCCCTCACACATACTAATTATCTTGAAAATGTATGCATTGCATTGTTATTCATTCTTTTTCTGACTCACCGTTAGTGCAAGCATAATCTATTTTCAGAGATTTCCCTGATTCCAACTCCCTCTCCTGGCTTGTCTCTCCTCTGTGTTTCAATACTTCCTTGTGCCTCTCTCTGCGATTGGCCCTTCCCATATGGTACTAAAACTATTTATGTAGAACTTAGACTTAGCTGTCCTTTGTTTTCCAACACCTAGCACAAGGTCTGTATATAGTACATGCTCAAGAAGGTTTTATTTAAAAAATGAGCTTCTCTTTGCAAGCTAAGTGACATATGTGATTGAATGCATAAAAGAAATGGAAATAAAAATATATTTTAACAAATGAGTCTCTATGAAGCACTGAATATTATGCTATATATTTTATAAATATTTGGATTTGTGATGTGACACTATAAATATAAATATTTTTAAATTATAAGTACTATCACAATTAATTCCAGCAAAAAACCTTGTAAGTATTACTGTTACTAGTTTGAAGCTTCAGAATCTGAAATCCAGGTAACTGTAATGCAAAGCCCAGTGTCTACCACTAATTCCCATTGCTAGCATGAGCTATTGGCATTGCACAGTGCTGCATAATTTACTTTTTTAAAAAAATTAAATCATGTATTTTTTCTCTTTCATTCACAGATAATCAAGAAGCAGTAAGATTCGCTTGCAATTAAACATTACGCTTAAGAGCCTAGTCGAGTACACATTTTTCTACCGATTTCCAAGGACATCATTAACTGTAGTATCAGTACGATAACTGAGAGAGAGAGAACTCCATCAGAAATCTCATGGCCTGTTAGCATAAGTTGCACAGGCTGTGTATAGAAAAATTTCTCTTCCTTGCTACTTATAAAACCTGGGTTTTGTCAGCTGTTAAAAGGGTCTGAAGATGATAAGAAGATTCCTCTGGTCCTTGTGTGTACCATCATCATGAATTAATAGATGAAATACAGTCTGTGCTCACACATGGAAAAACACCACTACTTGTATTCTCTATAGGTTTTCCACTCACAGGTTCCAGGATCAGACAGGAAATCTGGAATCATTAGAAATATTAAAAATGACAGCAAAAAAAAAAAAAGGCAGAAAAGCAGAACATACTCGTGTCCATATGACAACAAAATGTTCAGGAGACCAAGTTTCAGGACCATGGTGGCCTGCTCCAGAGAATGACAAGATTAACAAAGAGTAATTGTTAATGGAGAGGAGAAGGACCATCTCAGAGAACTTGGAAGGTTGCTCTGAGACATATGGTCAGAGCATGGACTTCCAGTTAATCCCCTGGTCCAGATGCAACATGAGACCTGCCCCTAGGGATCAACATGAAGGTTCCGGATTGGCATAAAATTATGAAACACCTGGGAAATTAAGGCACAAATCAAAGCATGTCTCACAGTTAAAAGGAAATCCAGCAAAAGGTTGGCCGGAGAAAGGAAGATATCCTGGATTGCTGCCTAGGACAGAAGTCACTCTCACGGCGTCTGAGGTCAAATCAAGCATTTTTATCCTCAAGGCCATGTTTACTCAGAATCGCCATCATTTTTAGAAAGGATTCGTCCAGATCTACCAGTTTGAATCCCTTTGAATTTTTGCCTCCATTATTCTCCATGGAATATTATGGCCTGTTTTCAGACTACATGGAAGAATTCTTGTTTCTAGATGACCTCAAGACCTTGTCCAAATAAAAGATCTCTACTCTCCTTTTCAGTAACTCGAACTCTGGTGACAATTTTTCTTCTGGCTTGTATCCTGATGCATAGCTCAGACAAGGAAGCTGATTGTGTCTAGTTTCCCTGGCCTATGGTGAATTTAAAACCTTGCCCCACCAGGGAGTAACTGGCACCTAGATTCTAGAAAAGTAGAAATCCTTTATGTACACTATGATTCTGATTTGGTCTCACCGTCTAATGGTTAAGTGAGTTAGATCCCAGAAGGCCAGTAATGGTTCAAGTCTCAGCTCCAGAAGTTGTTTTTTCAGGCACATGTGCATGCACACCCCAAATCCCAACAGGATGGAGAAATAAAGAAGGAATTGAGGGACCAGAAGTTAGTGTAATGGCTATGTCGTTGTACTCCCATGTAGTCAGCTGTGATTCCAGTCCTGGACCCAGTGGCTTAAACTCACGCTGGGCACGTGTGCATGCATGCCCAAGATCCCGAGAGGAGAATGGAGGAGAAGGGATTGCGGCATGGCCATCTCCCCGGGGGATGGGGGGGTAATTTCTCGCTTTCTGTCTCTCTGTCTCTCTGGCGAGCACATGTGCTCTATAGCATAAATCTCTCCAAAAACAGAAAAAAAGAAGGAATTGAAACATCACCAGGTCCCACTGGAGGGGAGGGGTGGTTTCTCTCTCTCACTCTCTCTCTCTCTGTCCCTCTCTCTCTCTCTCTTTCTCTCTCTTCTCTCTCTCTGTATGTGTTTCCTGTCTCTCTGGTGAGTGCACATGCTCCCTGGCAATTATTAAAAAGTTTTGTGAAAAGGAAAGAGTAAAAAGACTAACTTAAGCTAAATAACGTGATTGAATGTATAAAAGAATAAGAAATAAAAAAATAAACATTTTAAAAAACTAACTTAAAAGATTCAACAAGATGTGCATTTTACTAAGATTTTCTGAATGCTCTACTATGTTATGCTTTATGTACTGAGCTGCAAATAATGGCACACCAATTCATATATCTAAAGTCAAGGAAATTTGTGGGAGGAGCTCTTAAGGACTGCACCTAAATCAAAGTGAAGGATTCAGCCTAGCCTCAGAAACAGAACTAGGACTGTGTTGCCTTCCTGACCCAGATGGACTAAATGGTCTTTTAGCCCTTTCTTAGAGCAACAAGCTCTGTTTTCCCCAGTCACTCCTTTCTATTTTTTCTTTCTGCTTGATAGACCTTCCTCCATTCCTAGGTTTGCAGGATAAACTATGGTCAGCAATAATCACTCCATTTTATACTCCACGTTAGAAATACTCAGAAGGCCAAATCTCCCTACCTGTTTCCCTCAATATTCACCCTAGTTTCTACCTAGATGTTTAAGTGAGTCAATAAATTAAGTAATCCCTAATTAGATTTGAAGAAAGTGAAATGCCAATAATATATTAGGTCATCAGGAAAGTCACAACATGTTTTTCTATGCAAAAATTTGTCATGAAGTTCCTGACAACCCAGGAATTTAACTGATTTCAAAAAAATGTACAACAAAATTACATAACCTCATTAAGACTACAGTGGTTAAAGATGAAATAAATGATATTATATCAATGCTTTACAATGATATTATATCAATACTTTTTTAATAGAAAAGCAAAGACCTTGAAAAATAAAGAGTAGGAAAACAAAGAAAAATATTGTTAAATATATGTAGTGTGTGTGTGTGTGTGTGTGTGTGTGTATTGGGCACTCTGTGATACAGATGCAGAGTTGAAGTCAGGAGTACAAAATTTGGTGAGTGCATAACACCAGTGAAATGTAACAGGAGGAGGCAGGATTGAGGAAGACAAAGTTCAGATCTTGACCTAGAGTTGACCAAGTGTCAGTCAAACTAAAGAGAAACTCTAAAGCAAGGATTGCCTATTAGAGAAGGCCAGTGCTGGGCAGAAATGACCAGACCTAGTGCCCCTGCTATGCTCTGTTATTGGCTGGGGGCTGCCCAAGAAGTATATGGCCTTGGCTTGAAAGCTTAGATGAGTCCTGAAGGCATTAACAGCAGGAAATGGTCTGCTAACTGCACTCCTTATAGCTGAGTGGCAAATTCTCTCTTGAAGAGAGACTTAAGTGGTCCAACTCCACTTTAACAGTACATAAAAGAGGAAGGATGGGAAGGTGGATAAAAGCCTGTCTTCCCACCAGCAGAGAAAGCATTTTCACTTTCTTGCACCTTTACCAACATTAAATATGATATATGGGTGTGGATTATTTTAGATTTTCAAGTTTCCTCATGGAAAAATGTTCATAGTATTTCTTTGTAATTAAAAATATATATTTAACTACCATAATGGTCATTATTAAGGGAAAAAAAGTAGAATAACAGCATTTTGTTAGCTGCCCAGAATCCATTTCTTTTTGTAAGAGTGCCCTGGTTCTGTTCTAGGAAAATCAGCTCTCTCAAACAATATACAGAAAATGGAAAAGAAATGACATAGCTATGAGCTGATCTGTGTGCTCCACAAAATTCATAAGTTGACATTTTAACCCCAAGTACCTCTAAATATAACCATTTGGAGATAGGAATTTATTTTTAAAGAGAGATTTTTGTTACAGGGTGTCTGCATTCACCAGAGACAGAAAATGAGAAATCCCCCCCAGGATGGGATGATTATTGCTTCTGCTCCATTCTCCTCTCAGGATTTTGGGCACGCATGTACACACTCCTGGACTGAGTGTCAAAGTCTCTGAGTCTGGGACTCAAACCAATGTTGGTCATGTCAGAGTCCAGCACCTTCACCACTTCTCCAACTGCTGACCCAAGATAGGATCTTTAAAGAGATAATTGATTGAAAATGAGGTCATGAGGGTAGTCCATAATGGAACATGACCAGAGTCCTCACATAAAAGGGAAGTGTAGACACAGACACATGCAGAGGGAAGATCATGTGAAGACACATACAGAAGGGGGTCAACTGCAAGCAGAGGAAGTCTGAAAGAATCCTTTTTTCACATCCCTCAGAAGGAACCAAACCTGCTGACACCTTCATTCTCAGACTTCTAGCCTCTAGAACTGTGAGAAAATTAACTTCTGTTGTGTGAACTACCTGGTCTGTGGTAATTTGCTAGGGTACCCCTAGAAAATGAATAGAGCAAGTATCTGCTCCCCACTATGAATGAAAAAAAGAAACAATTCTTTTCTCACTTCAAAAACTGTAACCAGGGAGCAGGCACCATAACCTCAACATCACTGATATGAGACTAACTCCCAAGACATTGAATCCCAAGGGAGGTCACAAAGATAGAGGCACAGTTGGAGACTCATTGTGGCTACTACAGTAGTGGTAGCACCAGTGGGTCTTTTGCTTAGTTCTGACTCTGAACAGCTCCCTAATATTTAAGGCACTTACAGCTTTTAATGCCCCACTTACCATTAGTCCCCCTTTCTTGTGAGTAGTCCCCTCTCCACCAGTATTTCTCCAATAAATTCCATAGTCAGGGTCTGATTCTGTTGCTTTCAACCAGGAACCCAAACTGATACAAAAAATAATAATAATAATCTATCCCTTGCAAAATAAATCAGTTGGCAGCAAAACTTAAGGCGGAGAAGCTATATAAAAACAAAATTAACCCTCCTTCAAAAAAGAACAAAGAAAACAAAAAGCATTCCAAAACGTAGGTGTCAAATTGCCCTTTACAGTGGTTCAAGAAGTTTTTGAGACATTACTACTTTCCCATAAATATGATGCTTTACCGAATATGTCTGCTTTTCCCAATTTTAAACTATTCCTTATAAGCTAAAAGCTTAACACATTTTGACTTGTCTTTTTCCTCGTTTCGCTTCAGAAAACAACAAGTTAGGATATGTGAAACTGACTAAACTTTTCATAATTTGTTAAATCATATAAGTGACTTTATTTTGGGTGTGACAGGTGTTCTCTTTGTGTTTCAAGAAGGAAAAAATACAGAAGAAAAAATACTCTTTCTGTACTATCCCACAAACAAGAACCCATAAAACATAAAATCCCATTTTAAGAAAAAACTCAGTTGACACAGGTTCATGTTACCTGAATTTGGTACTATTTCAATAGTGACTTACTAATCTGTTGATTAATGGTACAACACAACTTAGAAGTAAATCTCTAACAGGGTAACATTTCTTAGTCTAATTTGGCCAATATATTTTTCAGTGACCTAGACAAAGGTGTAAGTATACTTTTCAAATTAAAGAGGCACAAAACTGCAAGAAATAGTCAATGTGTTATAAATATAAGTTAAAATTTTAAATGCTATTGATAAAAAGAATAAAAACAAAAAGATGGGGGCCAGCAGGTGATGTAGTGTTTAAGGCACTGGACTCCCAGGTGGTTGACTCTGGTTTAGGCCCCGGACCTGGTGGTTTGGAACTCATACCAGGCACATGTGCATGTGTGCCCAAAATCCCTAGAGAAGAATAGAGGAGAAGGGATTGTGGCCTGGCCATCCCATCCCAAGGGTAATTTCTCACTTTCTGTCATTTCATCTCCTCTGTCTCTCTGGC